TCGTCTCTGCGAGTCGAACGCCTACTAACGCGTACCGTTTCGCGCAGATCTCAAAATCACGTCCGGCAGGCCCGAGGCGCCCGCGCGGACACAAAATGCGCTGTGGAGCCTCCATGCGGCCACGTCGCGCCACGTAAGTAGGTGCATTAGATTTGTTCAGCTGATCTGATCCAAACAAGTGTTCATCTGAACATTTACAGCCAGAACTCAGATTCTCAGTTTGTGGTGTTTGAGCGCCAGCGGGAACATGAAATCTTCTGTGAGTGGAAGCAAACTGCCTGCATACATACATTGTCTCCCTCATTGTTTGAGCTATTGCTGTATATACTATCCACTGTTTATCATTAGTAGATATCATTAATGCAATTATATTTGTTGATTGCTTGGACAAACTCTATTTCAGGTCCTGTATAGCTGAGCAGATTAAGAAACCTTAGTTGAAGGTATCATACCCACTACTCTTTGCGCTCATTACACCCATCATGGCACAACCTCTTGATGCATCTGTCTGGCGTAATCTCAACCAGGATGTTATCCTAGAGATCCTCTCGCACGCCTGTGCTTCTTGGCCAGAGTCCTTCCTCGCCACATCAGTCATACTTGAGCCATCTGCCAGGGGTGATGCCTACATTGAAGGCATGGATACCATTCGTCAGCAGCTCCCTCTTCGTACCCTCTCATGGACCATATATCGACGTCTTCGTCTCCCACCTCTCATCCACCTCTTGTGCCGGCACCATGACTTTTTCCAGACGGTCATCGACTTCGAACAAAATTTCTGCCGGTGTGCACAGAGTAACCCTGGCTCTACACGTCCCCACATCAACTTTCTGAACCTCGTCGGACTTGACGTCTTGTGGTCAGGAAGCTCAACTCCAGAGGTCCAGGCCATTGCTCGCCGTGCAACCCCATACATGCTTGGGTTCCGCGCCCTGAGGATCATGACCAGTGGGAGTAGCGAAGGCGCCAATCTGCTGCGTTGTGCTCAGTGGTGGACTGGCGATTGTCAGGTGGAGTGGCTTGAGATTGCACACATAAACGTAAGTCCCCTCACTTCTTGATGCTGGATATTATCTCACATTGTGCAGCCGGGTCATCACCGGATCTTCCACTTCACCTCTGAGTCACTTTCCCCGGATGACGCTGCAGTTGCCAACTTCAGTCCCTTCAACAACCGTATCACTACTCTGGCATTGCTTTCCGTCTTCCCCCATCTCCACACCATCCACATCAACACCCCCGCCTTTCTGCTTGGGGCCCTCGGAGGGATAGCTCATGATGAAAGCATTCAGCGAGCCGATTTCGACTGGCCTGCTCAGGAGCGCAAGTACGTCGAGGACTGGTTTGATGAACTGCCAAGCCTACGCCGGGTTTGGATCGAGCATCTGCAGGGGTATGATTTGTTGCCTACATATCCTCATCTTCACGCCCGCTTTGATGCCAATGAGTTCCGCAGCCCCTACTTTGGCCGTTGTTTTTATGTTATCCGCTCTTCTGATAACCATTTGCATTGGCAGACTGCAATTCGAAAGGAGGATCTTTCGGGGTGGGAGTATACCAGACCACTTGATGAGTACCCTTCTGTTTACGAGATAGATCCCTTTTTTTCAAGTCATTTTTACCTTATTCCTCCCCCTCCCCTTTTGCCTCCTTACCCAGATAGTGAATTGAACGTACTACAGGCTTCTGGAGATCTGGTTGATATCGCCCCGTCTACGTTCAAGCCCTTTATGAATGTAACTTACCCGGTCGCTAGAAAATGAACAATGTATGTGTCCAGCTCGGACTCCTCCTGTTCCCAATATTGCCACAATGTGGTGTCACAGTCCCCTTGATGCTCACCCTACAATGCCACATTCATGAGATTTGGTGCCTGAGCGACGGACACTTAGGGAGCACGCAGGAGTCGAGCGAGTCGAGCGAGTAAGCAAGATGAGAGCAGCAGGCGAACAGCGCGTTTGCGTGGTGTATTAACAAGTAACAAAGGGTGAGTGGAAAGCAAACGCGTAAGGTGTGCGTATACAGGGTGGGCGAGGTATAAGAGGTCAGTGCGCCGCCACTACAGCAATGACATTTATATGTTGCCG